GTCGCATGTCGCTGTAATTACTGATGTAAGCACTGGTACCGCGTAGACCAATAGACTTCATGCATCCTCATCCTCCTCCCCACTGACAGAAGTAGCCCTCCAAATCATCAGGGAAAAGTCAAAAACCAGGGATGGGTATTACGATACTGATCTCATAAAACTGGTTAAATAATGTCCTTTATTCACTGAGGAAATATTGAATGGTATATTTTTTGAGCATACGTGACGCGAGCCTGAGTCGGTCGAAGGACTTGAGGCCGATTATTTATTCGTTGGTCGTTGGGTTGGCCCAGATTTTCTGAACAATGCAGTTGGGAGTGCACGATGAAGGGATGGCCACCGAATAGGGGATGTAATATATTTATAGTGTTGAGATGAAGGTGTTTGAATGCTACTTGATGGGAAGGTTTCAGGCATCGCGATTTCACTGCTGCACGTGTTCTTTAAACGTGGGATAGTATTAGTTTAATCCCGAATTATTAGTAGTATGGTTCTGGTGAAGTGATAGAAGAGCTTGGAGAGAACTGACGAGGGAAACGAGTAATCCTTTGTCAGCCATAAGAATAAGAATAAGAATAATAAATGCCCGTGGTCCATTACTATAATTAATACTTACTGATCCTAAGAATGAATAGTTGAACCTACCACCCTACTCCCCTAGATCAGGCCGCGCACGACCTTATATGAAGTGTCAATGGAGTAGTGGTAACCTTGGTCGTTGTCAGACATTGTTGATTCGACCAGCCGCGAGTTTAATTCTTGCTTGATGTATTTTTTTGCTGCTTTTCCTTTCTCTCCCTTTCCATAATTTTTTCCCTTATTACTGAGAGACGGATAAGGAAGAAGCGTGCAGGAGACTCTCAGAGTATACGAATATGATTTCGTGGTTTATTTATTGTACAGGTATGGTAATGGTTATGTTACAGCGTTTCTTATGCCGCAATTAGGATGTTCAATACTCTATGCAAGGAAACTTCGTCGAGAAATATACACATCTAAAGTGAGAAATTAGTTTGAGGACACGCAACAGGGTTTTAGAAGTGACTTACGATTTACAGAGCGAAACAAAAATAAAATAAAATCATATTCCAATGGATGGTAGGTTTATTACCAAGCCATATCTTCAGGATCCAACATCTGAGCCTTAAAAAGGAATGAATCTCATTAGTTTTCGCTCAGAAGTAATATTACAGAGTCAGTGCGCACCCCGGGCAGGCTGTCACTGGTAGCGACTGCCTCAAACTTGCTGGTGCGGGTACCCATGAACTTAGAAACGATTTGGTTGACGGCGGAGATCATAACGAGGTTGGATGAGGGTGTTGGGAGCAAGGAAGAGTGTTGTTGTGATGGACGATGAGATGCAAGGATTGCTGAGGAAAGTACGTCCAAGAATGCCGCATTTATACGAAAATCAAAAACCCAGCAACCAATGGTTAATGACGCGCCCCTTGATATTGACGCATCAATGCGCCTGTGACCTTCGTGGCGAGTGCACCGCTTTCTCCGACGCCCGTCCGTAATTTTCGCCTACTAGCGTGGCCGTCTATTCGTTTAATTAACGATTTCGAGCCCATCAAATGCCAAGTCTATTTTTCTCTTCTGGGGTCAAGAGCCCTTCACGTCCGGACTCCAGACTCCATACGCTCCATTGTCCAGCATTTCCGACCACGACGTCCTCCCGCGCGCGAAGAATCCGAGATTAGACTTCATAGACGTCGGGATGGTACCACATGGTCTGTCTTTCAGTTGCATATCGCTGTAATTGCTTATGTGATTAGTGGTACCGTGTAGACCAATAGACTTCATGCATCCTCGTCCTCCTCCCCACTGGCAGAAGTAGCCCTCCAAATCATCTGGGAAAAGTCATAAACCAGGGATGAGC